GAAAAAAAGAGACCTGTACAAAACTGAATGAAAAAAACAAAACAAAAAAAAACAAACAAAAAAAGAAACAATAAAACAAAGATAAAAAAAGACAATGAAAAGAAAGAAAAAAGAAACTGAAATCTGCAAACAAGAAACAAAGAAAAAAAAAAGAAAATAAAAAAACAAATTGGGGTTCAAAAAAAAAAAAAAGAAAAGGAAAGAAAAGAAAAAAAAAAAAAAAAAAAAAGCTTATAAGGTGAATACCACAACCATCCACCCACCCAGAATGGAAAAAAAATAGTGAAAAAAAAAAAACAAAAAAAAAACAATGAACAAAAACATTATTTCTGGTGTCTGTCTGTTCCCTAAGTTCAAGCTAAAAAATAAAAACAGTATTATTTTTTAAAAAAAAACACTTGTCAGTGATTTTATTTATAAATACAATTGTCTCATAACAAAATCTTGCTTTGAAAGTGTTTGCAAATTATTTTCTGTTATTTTCCTTCGTTTATTGTTTGTGCCTAAGTTTCTAAGAATTCATCATTAAACACCTCATGATCATGTCTCATTCCTATCACCTCCAGTCATTTTCCTCCAGAACTCATTTTTATTGGCCATCACCAGTCCTCATTCATTCATCCATTCATTCACTTATATAAAACAATTGGAATTGATCTATCACAAGTTAGCTAGCTAGATAGATTGTTAGCATGAATGATAGATAACTAGATAGAGAGCTATCTCGCTAGGCATGTAGATTGCTAGCTCGATATATGAATAGTTAAACAGCTAGCTAGCTAGACAGATTGTTAGCAAGAATGATAGATAACTAGATAGATAGCTAGACATATAGATTGCTAGCTTACAGGGTAACCAAAAAAGTCCTTGTCATTTTTGATTTATTAAAAAAAAAAGAAAAAAAGCACATTTGACATACTTTTAGTCCTCAAATTACCCCCTCAGCATCCAGAAACTTTTGCCAATGTGCCTCAAATTATGCTAAGCCCTGGCGGTAAAAAATTTGCAAATGAGTTACAACAAAGGGGGGTTGTCCAGAGAATGGAAAACATGGTAATTTGTTGGCATAAGGTCCAGGCATTAAGATGGATGGCACGGTGTCTTCCAGTCAAGTAGCGGTATGGTATTCCTGGCCACCTATGCCGCCCGAGGCCTGACATTGTCATGAAGGAATAGCACACCGTGCGATTAACCATTACTGTTCCTTCTGCTTCAGTGCCTATTGCGCACGTTCCATCTGTTACAAGTCTGCAGTGATAGATTGGCCTGTTGATAGCAGCTCCTAGTGCATCACTTGTTGACTCGTCCACCAGATACAGAGCATGATTTAGGATAGATGTAGAGCTGGTCTTGTGGTGTGAGGCACAGTGTCCTGTGGTGACATACAATATCTAGGATGAGGGACTCACTTATCGTCACTAGTGAGCACTCAATCAAATATCGGTACATTGCAGTGCCGAGAAAGCAACAAGAAATAAGTGGTCTCTTGTTGTTGCTTGTTGGCTCTCAACAATGTGTGGGGAACCCCCTTGCTTAACTTGTACACCTTCCCTATGCAGAGTGAGTGAAGTCTGGTTGTCTCATCAGAAACCTAGAAGCATTTGGCAATGTTCAGCAAAAGGCTTGGCTGTTGTCCTCTGCTATGGATGACTTCAGGGCCTCATCATTCAGTGCCTGTGGCCGGCCACTACGGGGTTCCTCCTTGAACATCCTGAAGCAATGCTTGACTGTGCGTTTACTGATAGCATTATTTGCAAAGGCTCTTGACGTATTCGGCAACTTGATGCAGCTGCGGACAATCAGACAATCCCAAACGGCTGCTTCGACACTGCCATGTTTCCATGACACCGCTTGAACTATGACTGATGTGTGTGAACAATGCACCTTCACCGGTCAAGAACAATGTTCCCACCCACAGTGCTTTCTCAGCACGTGATGCACTCCTTTGTATATCAGTGATCACTTCTTCCCACACAACATTAAAAACGGCAAGGACTTTTAGCTACCTTATAGATAGGTTCGCCAAACGTCCGGTTCACACTCCTCCCCGATGTTTTTGAATAGGCGTAGAGGTTTATCCCTTATTTCCTGTTAAGGATTGGGTTTTCCTTTTCCTTGTAAAGTCTTTTACTTCTAAAACCAATTAGTACGTTGCAACACTGAAGTTAAACAACATCAAGCCTGGTCAGTACATCGATGGGTGACTGCTTGGGAATACCAGGTGCAGTAAGCTTGGATGTGCGGGTGGTGTAATGGATAATTGCTAATCGGAGAGTCGAGTTCTAATTTCAGTTGGATTCATTATATTCACTTTTACCTTTGGGAAAAGTATGAATCCACCTCTTCTCTCCCCCAGCTATGGGTTAATTAGTCATACCAATATCACTAAATCATTATTATCTCCCTAAAAACATAAAAAAATTAATCTAAAAATATTTTCCGGCTTTAAATAACCTGAAAAAGGTTGAAAACGAATCAGCCAATCAATTCCTCACAATAGGAGCAGATAGGTTGGCCTATTGTCCGGTTCACACACCTCCTCGGTCTTTTGAACAGGATTAGGGTTTATCATTTATTTTCTATTTAGGGTCAGGTTTCCGGCTCCTAAAATCTTTTTATTCTCTTTCACTTTCCCCGTAGCCCCCTTTTGTTTGTGACATTGTTCCATTTCTTGGTGGACGATTGACAAAAAATATAAGATAAATAGTAAGCTACAAAACTAGCTAGCTAGATAGATATGGCAAATATATAAGGCAATTTTTTGACACGTTTCGATAATTAATTGCCATAATCAGAAAAGGTATTATTTTGAAAGAACAATATCTGCATTTGTACCAAAAAACTTGTTAAACATCTTAATCCTTGCTTTTTATTTAACTATATCGATATTCATCCATATGGCAGTGAATTCTGGAAAATCTCTTCAGTTGGAGGAAGCCAAAGAGGCGAAACGCGTCGTTAATAAATTCTCCATTTTGTCTCAATCAATGTTTTAAACCAGTGATTCCCACACTGTGCGGTACCTCTAACCCATAACATACACCACACACGCACATTGTACATGAAGTGTATATTGCCTTCACTTTACAATGCATCGCATTTATATGACTGTTATGTGAAACTAGAAAGACCGTGAAAATTCATGGAGAGTTCTACGACAATAAAATATCCGTAGAAATTTCCAAATCACATCGTTAAATATTTGAGCTTAACGACTTTAACAAAATATTGCAATAACAATCATAAGCGTGAATGCTTGTCGTTATTTTAAGAAGTAAGGGGGTACAAATGAAAAGATTTGAAATTGACAACTTTTTCCATTTCACCGAAACAGCCGTTAAACGCTTCTTTCTTTCTTTCTTTCTTTCTTTCTTTCTTTCTTTCTTTTATCCTTGTTTCTTTTTTTCTTTGTTTGTTTCTTTGTTTCTTTGTTTGTTTCTTTCTTTCTTTCTTTCTCAGCCTATTCATATCTATCTATCTATCTATCTATCTATCTATCTATCTATCTATCTAAGCCTATGTATATCTATCTATCTATCTATCTATCTATCTATCTATCTATCTATCCCTATGCATATCCATCTATCTATGTATCTATCTATCTATCTATCTATCTATCTATCTAAGATTATGCATATCTATCTATCTATCTAAGACTATGCATATCTATCTATCTATCTATCTATCTATCTATCTATCTAAGACTATGCATATCTATCTATCTATCTATCTATCTATCTATCTATCTATCTAGCTAGCTAAGACTATGCATATCTATCTATCTATCTATCTATCTATCTATCTATCTATCTATCTATCTATCTAGCTAGCTAGCTAGCTAGCTAGCTAAGACTATGCATATCTATCTATCTATCTATCTATCTATCTATCTATCTATCTATCTATATTAATTTTCTCACAGAACCCAAAGAGCATCTTGGATATGTCTTTTGTTTATCAAAACGGAATGGTCCCCTTTGTCTTATCCGCTTCGCAACACAGAGCTTATAAAAAAACGTTTAAATTCAAAACGAACTCGTATCCTTTATCTGAAAGACTGGCTTTTTGACCACTTAAACAAGTACAGAAGTTTAAACATCTGGGAAGTATTCTAACAGAGGAAGACACACTAGACTAGCGAAAGATGCATTCTTAAATCTATAGTGGCGAGAAACAGAAAAAATTTCCTTAGAAAGAGTGCTGGATTGCTATGTTATATGCATCCTCTTATAGAGCAGTGAATGCCGAACATTCTCTCCGTGGATGGAGAGAAAACTGGAAGCAGCACAAAATGTAGTTCTACAGAATGATACTGAGAATTCCATGGACGGAGCGAGTAATCAAAGAGGAAGTTTTAAAAAAATGGCAAAAGAAAGAACACTTATACCCAGAATCCATAAGAGACATATTTCTTGGACACATATTGAGGAAGGAGGCTTGCAGAACGAGGAGTGGGAACAAAAGGACAAACGTTGCTAAGATGTAATAAGGAGAGGAGGTTGTGGAGAGCTATGATCGACAACGTTATAAAAAGATAAGAAATTAGATTTGAAATAATTAATATCAAGGCATATTAGATTTGAAATAATTAATATAATGCCTTTGTCTGACGATCGCAAAAGCGTGAAACCCAGGGTCGCAAACTCACATCAATCCAAGAAAATATGTTAGCTCTATCTCTGATATTGAGCGCTTTCTAATAAGTACCGCGCATACAATATATAAATAATAATATATATAATATAATTATAATATATATATATCGCGCGCACACACACACACACACATATATATATATATGTATATATATGCATACATATATATATTTATATACAGTTTTCACATATATATATATATATATATATATATATATATATATATATATATATATATATATATATATATATATATATATATATATATGCATATAAAAAAAGAAAGAACAGTAAGATATATAATCCGGTGTTCTTATAGATATTTTTATTTTACAAAATAGTGCT